AACCAAACAAAATATTTCAACATGTCAAAAGTTGCGATAGATTTTCGTGATCAATGTCGAGATAGAGTTTCGTCAATCGATTTGTTATTTGAAGAAAACGAACATTCGTCAACATTTATTTGCAATACGATCAAGAATCAAGATGAATCGTGTAAAATCCTCGTGAAATGACAACGATACAAGCATAATAAAACTTATCAGTTGATAAAGATAAAGCCATTTTGCTAGAGCAAATTCTTTCATCAACACTCGATTAGATCGTCGTTTTGCACAAAAAAAGAAACAAATGGAAACGATAGTGATGCCAATAATTCGCTCAAAACTATGAAATACGTCCTTCCAAACGCATGCATTCAGTCCTTTCATTTTCAATAACTACCAATACGATCGACATCAACAAATCAAATGCATCAACAATACTCACAATCACAATTGTAATTTCTAGAATTCCGATAATATAATATAATTCCGATAACTGCGATATATAATATAACCAAAATAATAAACCAAAGAAAAACCAATGAGATCGAAGAAAAAAAAAGAAACCAACTCGTAACTAAACTAAAAAATTACGTTACCAAAAAACTTCAACGAAAAGTATTCATCAATAATCCCACAACAGTAACAAAAACACCAATAACTAACTGAACACCGCATCTTTTTTGTTCTACTGAGAATTTCTGCTCATTAAAAACTTCGAAGAATCCCTCTTCTTGTCCATATTCTCAGTAGTTGCACTTTTATCAAACGACAAGGGATTCTTAATGCCACAAAAAATGAATATTGCCCTTCGCGTGATTAAATAATTGCCCTCAAGCTTGTATATTCCTTCCTATTCAACTTTTTCTTATGTATTTCACAACGATACAATGATGATGCTACACGCAGTCTTCTGCTTAATTATCTTGCATTCATGAAGATTATTTCTCGATCATTCGGAAGCATCATTTTTTTGCTCTTTCCGTCATGTAACATCTCACAAATCAGCCAAAAATTCCCCACAAAAATATATTTCAAACCAGTAAAATTGTGCTAAACTATGCTAGTTTTTTGCTTCCAATGTGACTGTTCACGTAGGCATCATATGAGATTTTTCGCATGTTAATTANTGAATCTCTCAACTCGTCATCCATTCATTCATCATTCGATAATTCTATTTTTCGTTTTTAATCAACTAATAAAGACGACTTAAAACTTCTAACAAATCCACTCACTTCCGGTTTCTCATTTTGCTAATAGCATAACATTTCGATGCACCTCACACGATTCTCTTCTAATGATTGTCGTCGCCAATTCACAATTTATTTCTAATTATCACTTATGAAAAAGATGTTTCTGTAATATTCACCGTAATATAATTCGGCTGCTCAAACGCCCTCCCTCTCCTCTTTACAACACAACATTCAGCCATTGCGTAAACACACCAAAACTCATTCAGCACATTTCATTTTAGCACTTTTTTTTAACACACTCACTTCACCGCACGTTTTATCAATTCATCGATAAAGGTTCATTAACTAGTCGAATAGACACAGTCAATTAAGTGATCCATCAGCTGATCACAATGCAATCAAGCGAAGTTAATATGTATGGCTTCAATAGGCAAAAACATTTCCATTCACCACATTCACATACGCAGTATGTGTATTAAACCATTATTTAACATTCGGTTAACAATACGCAACATGCCGACGATTTTTTTGTTTGGTTGTGAAACGAATCGTAACAGTTCAAAGACTTTTCTGACCAAATTTTGTGCGAAGTTTGCTTCTATTCTGAGAAAATTTCAGCAATTCATTGAAATTTCCGAGCATTACTGCGTGTGAATGATTGACATTGAACAACACTAATACACACTAAATGGACAGCTAACAAACAACTCAACGAGATGAACCGAACGCATTTAGCCGCATCTGCATTTTTCCATNGATTTTTGCTCACAACTGAACATTCGTGCAATGAAATTTTTTGAACATTACCATTTATGAAACGATAAAACATTTGTTTATCGCAGAAATTCTAAAAAATTCTATGCTCTCACTAAAACGAATTGATACGGTTGAATGAAGAACAAAAAACAACTCACGTTGATACGTGCCTCAAGTTCGTGTGCTTGAATTCGTCTTCCATAGCAGAGAAGTTGACTGAAATTGCAAAACATGAACGAACGCATCAGACTGGAATTAATCCATAAAAATGACTGTTTGAATAAATCGTTATTGGCATTTGTGAAAGAACTAAAAAACCAACCCTAAACGCATTCACTCACATATCTCCTTTCCGATATTTCTAAATTATAACAGTCACTAAACGGTTTCCAACTTCAACAAACACACCAATTCTCTGTTTAAAAACGCAACATTTCCCTAAACACTTAAGCAATAAATGTACAAAATGAACTCACAATCAGCGCATAAAATGCACCGAGTTGCACGAGCAACTAAAATAATTAACATGGCAATTCCGCATTGAGGAATGTATACAAACAGAAACTTCAGCACTTTTCATTCGCTAAGAATATCTCTCCATTTGAATTCAAGAAATCGAAGGGAAAATCATTTCTGTAGAGAAATGCCTAAGAATTGAAAAAAAAACGAGGAACTCTTCCAAAAACACTATTCTCTTTACGTGTGTCACTTTCATGCCTATCATTTCGCTTATACAACGAACCTCAGGATCATTGCAAAATTTGTCTAATTGTAAGAACAACTCACAATCTTGCATTCTGTGATGTTAAATTGAGAAAAAAAATTTTTTTCTCGGAGTTTCGATAAACATTCACGCCATAAAATCGTTTGTCACAACTTGTTTGAGACGTCTGTAAGTCTCAAAAAACGTTAACACGAAATAGAACGTTATGTGTTTAATTTAATTCCTTTTTGCGACAGCACATTGCCTTAAAAGCTCATGTCTATAAAACGTCACGAAACTTTCAGGAAATCACGCATCAAACAATTATGTTCCGCTCTTCGTCGCTGATGGCAGTAACAAAAAACTTCAATGAATTATTGATATTTCATAGCATAAATTATTTACACGACTCAAATGTCGGCGAATAATGTTTCCGCAATGTACAACACTCAAAAAATATGAATTTTGCTCACAGTTGTCAAAAAAAGTGATAAAAAGGAATTACTCAATATGACAACAATTTGTCCTAGTGCACTCACTCAATAGTACATGCAAAAAGCGCTTAACAAATTCTCAGTTCTTTCACATTTACTTTCTAATAATGAAATGACTGAATAGAACAAACAAAAGACACCATCATGAAAATGGTGAACAGGAAGAGACGTTATATGATAATCATAACATATTGAAGTTGTTAACGGAACTATTTTATAATACGTAAATGGTGTTCAGACGAGTCACGATAGAACAATATCTCTGATGAATAACCTCAAGTTTTCAGGTAAATTAACTTTGCAGGCATTAGTCATCGTTCTGAGAATCGAAACAGAACGATATTACTGCAATATCACTGGCTGATAAAATTTTTCGAGTAACAATTTATCAGCTGAAATTTATTCGCTGACTACGACTTTCAAAAACCTTCTTTATTCATTCGTTCATTAATGATTTCGAAATAATGGGAATGCTTCAAAATGATCACAAAACTTATCACCTCAGCAGTGGGTGGCATCAGAATACATCAAACACCGTCGGAATCATTACAGAAAGCTAACTGACTACTCACTTTGTTGTTTGTGTGCGTATGTGACAATCGATGACGCAATCTATCAGTAAAAATATCTAGAGAATACATTTCAAAACCTCAGTTGACACTGAAAAAATACACTGAAGATACAATACAACGTAAATACTTACATAAAATTTTAATCAAATGAGCATTTCAGTTTTTGCTGGTGGCACAATCAAATCGTTACGTGTCGACAGTGTTATTGGATGAATAGTTGATGAGCAGTTTGAATCACAGTTATTATTACTATTGTTGTTGGCGATAACACCCGATGATGAGGCTCTAGTAGCAAGAAGTGAAGTATTTGGATTGTGCGAGAGCATTTTCAGTTCCGAACGAAACGAATTTGTCGCATTATTTGGTCTGTTCGGCTGATTACTGCTCAACGACACAACACTTTTTTGACGGCAAAAACAACAACAACAACAATAACACCAACTCAGCGATGAGGCAGCAGTCACAAATGGTGGACAGACTGCGTGTCGAAACGAACGAGAAAACGAGAAATAAATGAAGAAATTTGTCGCACTCGAGATCACCACCAACAAATTGCTGATGTCAACACAAATTGTTGCAGTGTCAGAATTCAGAAATTCTTTCGCTGAGATCACATGCTCAGCAACATCCAACGCTGTCGGCATTAGTCTTGAGAGTAGAAATTTGGCCATGACCGCCAACAGAATCAATTCAGATTCGGCCGTCTTTTGTGCAGACGACAACAGACGTTGCGATGACGCTGACAGTACTGTTGCGGAGGCTAAACGTTGCCTTTCTTTGGCCGCTTGATGCAAAGCGAATGAGATTCGTGTGGACATCGTGAAGAGGCCAATATATGGGAAAAGTGAATAGAACAAGAGGCCACCGATGATTCGATAGCCAATCATATACAAACGATTGTTCACCAAAACTGTTTGCTTCACGTACAGTTCCCCATCATACTCGAAAACAGACAACTCAAACAGGCGAGGCAACGAGAAGAGCACAGCGATGAACAGTACCAGTGTGAGAATTTTATGCGCACGATTCACGGTGATTTGCTGTCGCTGTTTCAATTGCTTCGATAACGGACGACACAACGCTCGATATCGTTCAAACATCAGTGCGCATATCAACCATACCGAAGACGTCAGTGACGCATTACTGAGCATGTAGTAGGTGGGAAAGAGACGTGCATAAAAACCCAACGATGACATGAATGTGGGCATACAGTACATCAAGAAGGCGTTCAGCAGCAGGGATGTATCCGAGAAGGTGATCCACAAAAGGTACGTGTAGATGAGCGGTCGTGAATTGGTGATGTACGATCTCAGTCGTACAGAGTCATTCGATCTCGTTAAAGCCTTTTGCTTGATCAACGTTCGACTAGTTGATGATGTAGTGGTGGTGGTGGTGGTGCATCGTTTTGGCTGTTTCAGCAGAACGAGCACAGTGATCGAGTTCAGCACCACACCACAAACCACGAATACGGCCGTCACAGGACCGTTCAGCGTATATCCCATATGGATTCAATTAAGTGCACTTTGCACGATTCCAATCGCTGCTCATTCACGTAAACAGATCAGGCAATAAGGAAACGAACAATATCTTCGCACACACTCAACAACAATAATACACAACTTGAATATTCACTGATCAAATCACCGCTAATCAGAGCGTTTTCGAATTTATCACTGAATTGCAGTCTCCACACTATACAAATGTCTTCTCTGAAAATCAGATCTTCGAGTAATACTCTTTCAACAGCTTGTCAGACAAGTCGGTCAATTCAACGATAGATCACAATATGGTAGCCACCAATCAGTTATTCGAAAGTATAATTTAAGAAAGGGATGAAATCAAACACAAAATACACCTTTTGGGCGTGGTGTCACGTCACTTTCCAATCTCAATGAAATGTTCACTGTGAATAAAATATATCAGAATGTTAGTTACGAACCAACATATATGAGTACAGCTTCATAATTCCTCAGCAACTGAAGCTTAGTTATAGAGTGCGCTTGCTTGTAACTTTCTAGCTTCAGCTAATAGCCTTACTTCCCTCAACCTAGTTAATGATGAACAAGAACAATACTTCTTCTACTCAATGCCACGCCTTCTGCTACATATCATCTGTCCGTCCCTTCAGAGTCAATGAAATGATGTAATTTGATGAAACGAACATCCATCTATCTCATCGAACATTGAATGGCTCTATCATAAAAGGCTCTATAATATTCGCACTGTCTTCCTATATACTTCAGATCTCATCGTCATAACCGAAACATTCTTAAATTCTAAAAGCAGTCCATCATCAAGCTCTTCTTAGAGAACAACAATCGAGAAGTATCTGAAAAAAGAGGTGAATGAAAAGAAAACAAAACCAACAAGCCTCTTACTCTTCGTTGGAATAAATGAATAACGCAATAAATTCAACAAAATAATTCACACAAATAGCCAACTTCACCTATCGACGAACCATAATTAAATTCAGCACAATAGAAATGCTCAAACTAATTCAAGAAAAACCATAATTCAAGAAATGTTCACAAACTAATGTTAGGATCGTTCATCAGTGGCAGCAAGCAAACGATTTCGTCAAGATCACTTATTCACATATGATTTTTGATTAGCTATTCAGATCAATGCTATTTCACTGAACACACCGATTATTTGGATGTTTCACGATTCACTGCCTTTTAAAATCGCACACTGATCGAACCTAAGCCAAGAGGTGAAATGAGGAATTTGATGAGCCCACGCAAACCAGTCCAAAAAGACTAAATTCACGCTGAACACTATCAAAGTTCAGAGCAATTCAGAAAACGATTTTTTGTTTTAATGGTTCAATTGTCTATGGGCGACTCCTTTGTTTCAATTTTTACTAGCGTTCATATTCGAAATTATCTCTTTTTTCTCAATTCATGCATTTGTTCGAAACTTTCAATTCCGTGCTCATATTGGCAAACACGAGTTGTCAATGGAAACATGTCCAGAAAAAAATCCCATCTACAGATATGCTTTCCTCATACTCGAAAAATATGAACTTTTCCAAAGATATGAACACTTCGAAAATGCCATTATATCCTCCTGAAGCAAAACAAGATTAATGCGACGTCTCTTCGCTCCTCTTTTTTAATCCATAAAAATAAATGTCTCAATTTCATCTTAACAGTAAACATCTTTTCATGCAACCATGCCAAATTCCTATTTTAGTGTCCACAAACATTCCTCATCAATCGTCAAAACAAATTGCCTAACAACATGAACTGATATACATATCTTAGGAATACCAACATACCAATGAAACGGAATAAAGAGAAAAAAATGAATATGACATGTATAACAATGAAAATTTCAGCAGCACAACCACTGTATAGAAGCTTATGAAGACCTTCTATAAAGGAACTGAAATGAGAACTTCGCCAATCCGAAATTGCATCTTCCTTGAACGAAAACCACTCATTGAAAGCTTGATTTTTCTAAAACTTGGACAGTATTCACCGTGTGAATTTTTACTGTTTAACTTTTTTTTTACTAATTCACCCAATACATAAAATATTTTAAAAAAACTTAAGAAACAATCATATTTCTTCACCCTTTTCATAAATTATCAAAACTTCTTCGAAAACACACAACGAAAGATCTCCTCATTGCTAAAAATTCAAAAGAAAGCTCAAAAAAATCCATCACATTCTTCAATCCAAAACGAAACCATAACATCATCGCTTTGCTCATTCAATAACTCGTTCCAGCTGCCTAAACTCTATTTCAGCTATTTATGAATGTTATCTCCCCACTCAAATAAGCATAGTATAATCAAATTTTTCCGCAATCATATGAAGCTAATAACATCAATCGTTTCACTCGTTCAATTTTATCAACATATAGTAAACGAATGCTTGATACACATCGATAAGAATTAACTCTGAACGCAAAGCTATCAAAACGACATACTTTACGTTACGAACTCCTAAGACAAGCTCACAAAACTTGAAGGTTCAGAAATTTCGAGATCGAATCGTCAATGAAAAGTTTCTGGAACTACAGATCTCTGTCTGTGGTGTGAATGGAATGAGGAAAAGTGTGCTGATTAAATGTTCTCGATCAACAACACATAATTATCACAAAATCAATTTCTCATATCAAATGCGCGAAAAACATTTTGTTCCCACACTCAGAATTTGATCTCACTCAAAAAGTGATTGATTATCCAATTCATCGAATAATTTTCGTTCAACTTCGACCATTAATCGAAGGCAAACATTTATTGATGATTGAGTAATCGTCAAATAATTACATATTCATGTGAACAGCACTTAACATATATCACTACCTTCTCAACAATTAAAGAATTTTCAGCGTGCTTTTCTTCTTCATTTGACAACCTATATTTGCGTTTGTCATATCTTCTCTCGAATATTACCCATCAAAATTGCAGCTTAGGTGAAAAGTCACATTACCGTAGGTGGCCTTTTAAGGGCAAACAGATTCCACTCTACGATGCTGTTAGAGGAATTCGATTAAGAACAAAGAAATAAAGTTTAGGTGCCTACATACACATTTATTGTAGTCTCAAAATCTTTTCATTATTCTCAATCAATATCTTCAGTTTTCGTGCAATATCTGATGTCATTTTATCTGCTGCTACATTCAGTGTTTTAGTTTTTCGAATATATTCCAAAAATTGGTCTCATTCATTTCTAAATTTTAAGTTTTTTGAATTCTCGTGTACTCCTATGTTTATCTCAGATTTTCAACTTTATATTTATTCAATACGTNTTCAATACGTATGCATTAAGGTGCACAATACCCAAGTTTTTATGCAACCTCTCTGAGTATCTTTACTGCATATGACCTTTATCATTAATTAATAACTCTTCTCACATCTCAGTGTGAGTACATTTATTAATTAATGACGTATTCCTCAGCGTAATCCAAACTGTTATTTGTTTTCGTTGAAATATTGCGAAAATATCAATCATACAAGTGTAACTTCACAGCGTTGCGTCTGCTCTAAATCAGTATCTCCGCTCTCCATCCTGAATGTATCATGTGTATTTTTCGAAAAAAAAAAACAAACAACAATCTATTCAGCACATGAATATTTGATCCTTCAGCAATATTTCAAAAGCTTTTTTTACTGTGCCAGCTTGAGATTGTCATATTGTTTATGGAATAAAAAGCTCCAAGTGATCGCACTGGGTAATGTTGAATTGCACCAATAATTTTTATATTCCTTAAGACGTTCTTCAATGACCAATTAAGACGACGAAACAATTAAGACGTTCTTCAACGACCTAGAGGCTTGACACCATTGAGTTAGGATGAAATCGAGACTTTATGATATGGATAGTCAACGATACTCCAGGTTCACTCATGACAAGCATTTGAGCTTTCCATTCGAGTTCACATGAATCGTTTCACAATACTATCGCAATACTTTCGGGAAAATTCGTTCTCAAAAGAAGGAAGTCATCGGCAAATGATGTAGCTTCTATTTATGGATAAACGAATGTCTGTCGGCTAAGCCGTCATGAACAGTTGCTAAATTTATCTCGGCAACGTAATTGAGACAGAATGCTCTCTATACAACTAAAACTGATAAGATTATTTGAGCTCTTCCAAACCCTTTAGGAAAAGAGTCAAAGTGCTATGATATGTCCGCTCTTCAGAGGCGTAAACATTATACATTCGAAAAATTACGTAAACATTACTGTTCTCATTATATACATTCGCAAATGTGAACCCTTCTCATGTTCCACTTCCTCGCATACTATGTCCACTGCTGAATGTTTTCGATGGCCAGACGCCATCTTCACAGCGAGTAAAAAATGATAACTCAACAGTCAGCTCAGGAATATTTGAATTTCGGATTTGTAAAATCGAAGTAGATTTGAGGTTGAAAAGTGAGAGATTAGTCATGATTATAGAGATTTTCAAGTTGACCTTATCGAACGATTACTTTGAAATCTAAACGAAAAAGCAATTATGAGACAGTATGATATATGAGATAGAAGTAGAAGGATGAAAGCGCACTATTCAATTCAATGGTATCAGACTCTCATCGCCATCATTTCAAATGACAACGGTACCGATAATTGGAATGAGCAATGAAAGAGACGACATCAATCATCTTATGAAGTGATACAAAGGATTTTAAAAACCAGTAAATTCAAGAATGAGCAATGAAACAGACGACCATCAATCATCTTTTGAAATGATACAAAGGATTTTAAAAACCAGTAAATACAAGAATAAGCATTGAAAGAGACAACCATCAATCATCTTTTGAAATGATACAAACGATTTTAAAAACCAGTAAATACAAGAGTGAGCAAAAAGCAACCAAACCTAACAATAAAGTAAGCAAAAAGGAATGGAAAAATAAAGTAGTAATGAAACAGAGTAAAAATCCAGAGATTAATATATTCAGACGCAATAGATTTCATGCCTTACGATCAGATCAAACTCAATAGTTCATGCGCTCGAATGCGTTGTCATTATCATCACATGCGTAGAAAACCTAGCCACTTGTGTTCTGACTTTTCTGGCAACTTTTGATAGGCAATTTCTGATTTGAAGCGATCGATACGTCATCTTTATTTGTACTCGAGAAGAGCTTTTCAATAAAACTCAACGTATTCATCACTAACCAATGGCTGCATTAATTCTTATATTATTCACTGAGAGTATTTTCAAAAAATCGGGCACGTCAGAAACCTCTAATGCTTATCGCACCTAGCAGCAATAATTTATCGCGTCCTTAAGATTAAATTCCCATTTTAATTCCACTGACTTCGCTTCGTCATATAATTTCAATTTCATTAATTCCACCCGGAAATGAAAGCGCATTTATGAATATTTCACATGGGTTACGAGTCAAGCGGATTCTCATTTCAAAATTTGTTATCTAAGGCGCACTTCCGACTTGTTTCAATCATCCTGTAAAACAAAAAACTTCCTCAATTATAATCAATCCACTGGACAAATTAATCAGTTCTTTTACCATATTATTAAACGTTGTATGCATTAGTACTATTCGAATGCGCTAATATTATAATATTCCAATACCATAATTAGAATTGAATTAATCATAAAATGGTTGACCTACTTCAAAAATACCGTCTATTTCGAGACATCGATAGATATGTTGCGAGGTAATTAGATTCTCTCATTCACAACACCTACCTATGAATGATAGTTTCGAATCTATTTCGAGGCGTACTTGTTCTAGCACTTGAAAGAAATTGATACTCACTCATTCAAAGCCACTACTCATTCATAACCGGGCTGTTTCTTCTCAAGATCACAAATGAAGAGCATTGTCATTGATTGTCACACACATACACCCAAAAGCTGCGTTATATTTTCGTACGAATTTGATTTTGCTGAATGATTTCCATTGAAAGCCACCAAATAAATATCCAACTAGAAGGGATTTTTTAGTGTCAGATAAAAAAATTATCACATATTTCAACACCCTACATTATAATATACTCGCATCACAAATGTAACATATATACATCTACTTAACTAATATTTCATTAAACAAACACATTCACAGTTGTAGTTCTATTCAATTTGAATGACAACCATTTTTAATACTTCACATCAGAAAAGTGCATCTTTTTTCTTACATCAAAAATAAAAAAGCCTTCTAGAAATGTTTGCATCTGCGCAAAAAAGAGAGCATTTCAGTAACTTAATTCTTCAAATTTGTTGCGCGAATACTCATTTGCACTGCATGTAGAACGAGAGAAGATCTATTACGAACAAATAACAACTTTATCACAGAGTTCACTATAGGTGTAATGCAGACGGAATCTCATAATTGAATCTCATCGCAAACACTTAACAACCACGACCATATCATCAGATCACACTACATCTTTCGCAAAAAATGCGATTCTAATGTTCACCATTCACTTGGGAATTTCTCCTTTAATTTATCCGTGCCATTCGCAAATTAAAAAAAAAAACAACAAACCAAAAAAACAAGAATATTTCAAAAACTTTGTGTTGCCTCAACATTCAAATGAAATCCGTGAACATTCCTGCAGTCATTCACTCACTTAAAATGTCATTCTAATCCAAAATTTTCATATTATTCACCAATCACTCTTTCTCAGTATGCAAAAAGCGTGCGAAATTCTCTCACGATCAGAATAACGATAAGGAGATTATTTTTGCAAAAATTTTGCACAAAAAAGAACAATATTTGCAATTTGGTTAATGAGAAGTTCGTTCATAATTCAAATTCATTTCCGTGAATTCTCACGTCAAATTGCATTTGAAATTATTAGTAAAAAGAAAGGGTAAATGAATGAAATGGATACTTCAAAAGAATCACTTCTTGAAAGAATTTTAAAAGAATCTTGAAAGAATTTAAAGGAGTACACTCACTAATACCATTCACCATCAATCGCTCATTGCTTTCGCCATTTGCAGAAACGATGATGTTTATGTTCAATATTCAAAAAATAATTAATTTTTTCTCTGTTTCAGCAATAAGCCCTCTTAATAATAATGATAATAACAATGCGTAAAACAGTGTCGTTCGATCACTCAAGCAAACGAAATGATGAAAACAAAGCATATAAATGCTGAGATCTATGATCTTTACTGCATTTTCAATTTTCCCTTAATATATCCCTCAAGACTGATAAACTGCACATATCATTTGCAACGGTACCACTCCTCATGTAAAATGACACAAATATTCGAAGTAGGTGCGCAATGATGTAATAATATGGGATATGTGCATTAAATAATGACAATAATAGTAAGAGGCGATTATGATGGTCATCAAAAGGTAATATTATGTGTTTTATTGAGGTGATTGTGGAATGATCACAAATTCATTGATTATTTGAAACTTATCATCCACTTAGATTGTCAATCACTCACTCTTCGAAAAGCTTACAACTTGTTCCAACAACGCAAACTATTTTTTTCAACAATACTGGCAGCTTTCTTTTTTTGAAAACGATTGATGCGCTATTTGAACATTTACGCCAAGAAATATTATAAATAACAGAAAATACTGATACAATCGTAATGTTCAAAAAAATGGTTTGCAATTTTCGTCTTTAATCTAATTTTTCGAAGCGTCAATGAATTGAATGACAATTCGTTGCAGCTGACATCGATCAAATTTGAATGAACGGTTCGTAAAATTTGAATGATTAACTTCAATGGAACACAAATGAAAACTTATAGAAGTTTGCTAATCCTAAGTGTACTCATTCAAGTGCATCAGTAATTGAGAACTAGCAGTTTCGTCCACTAATCGCGCACTACTGACACTAAAATTGAAATTCATCTGCAATTGAGCAGCAATAAAAAAAAGAATCTAAAATTCTGACCGTCCAATATCTTCACAAATCGGCGTCGATCCATCCAACATCAACAACATATTCGTTAGCAGAGATCGCTTGCCACGTTCCACTTCTTCTTCTGTTATACTCTCACATAGATCCATCCTTAAATTTCCAACATCTTCGAAAGAATTAATTAAATTCAAACATTAATAAAGAATTTCAAACGGGATTACTCAATTACTCAATGATTAATACTTAAACTTTTCCGGCTTGTACAATATCACTTTAGCTTTGTGGATGCATACAAATCACATCAATACAGCACAAATATCGATGTATTTATGTTTTTCAATGATTTGTTTATAATCCATCATGTATGAAGCAACAACAAACGCAGTGAAGTAAAATATTCTAATTAACCAAAACTGTTAAATATTAGTAAACTATTAAGCAAAAGTATTACTAATCTTCTGATAGAATTGCTCCTAATAAGTTATTATTATTGATGCTCGAACAAACAACGAAAATACTCAGTATTCCTCCTTCCTCATAATTCGTTTCCTTTTTTTAAATAACTGATCTTGTTAAAATCAGTAAATGATTCGAATGAACGATTCATAGTGAACATGCGAAAATGAATAAGATTCAACGATGCAAAATCGCCTCACCATTGTTGTGTGATAGCATCGACGACGTGTTTTGCACCGCTCTGTTCACAAACAAAATAGATGCCCACCAGTCCGGTATCTTTATAGCAAGTGTTGAAGGCTTGGAATGATTGCACATGCGTATTTAAACCCAACGACTGCGCTAGTCTTGAGGGTGCATTTACACCCACACCATGCGTACGATCCCATTGACCGATTAACTGCAAACAATGCATAAAAATTTCTTTTTTCACAATTGGCCTTCTCTAAAAAGTTTCAGTTCACATCAGATTCAATAACACGCCATCCTTTTATTCGCTTAGCAATTGTTCTCCTCTTACGTGCTTTACATTTTGGCCACTAAGAATCCCTTCGTTTGAATGTTTCAAAATCTCATTACTTTGATTTTCAATCACCAATAAGGTCTCAAGCTAAATTTTGATCACAAAAATTCACAACAACCTACTGCTATACATTGATCACTAGCATAACTATGTTCTCTTGATAGTTTCGCCATATTTTGTCCTTTTTCACCTTCTGATTCAACTTAGCAATTCATTCATCTAACAATCAAAGAACTTCATAACTCAATAACATTCAGAAAGTCCACTTAGATCATATGGCGAATCACCTTACACGCTATGTATGTGCCATCATGCATGCTTGAGTTAACAATGAGCTCAATAACAAAATATTCACAACAATCGACTGAGCGAATAGTCTCCAATCACGCATAATCTACGACTGCAACTAGGCTTTTAGAGGAGCATTGAGCATTCAATTCACCTTGAAATATCAATTACTGCATCATAAATGTCATGTGCACGTGTTCACATGACTGCTTAATGCATGAATCAATCAAAATGAAAAATCGCATTTTCGAGCATTCTGAATGAAACTACGCAAATCCGAACCAATAAATTCATGCTTTCCGCTCATATACTTCTTTCAACAGCAACAACAATAGGAATACAATACGATAAAAACGTCCACAAAAGACGATTCGAATTATTGAAGCATAAAGGTTACTTAACAATAAGCATCAATGAGCAGCCTTGCTCAATTCTATTTCACCTATCAAAATCCATTGATGATGTCATATGACTGAAGACTGCATGAATGATTATTATTGACGACTGCATAAAGAAATAACAAGAGTATTACTTTTGAAATGCATATTATTCGTGCATAAGCTTTACGAATGAACAAATTTGATATGAGATAATAGCAATTCGACATGATTGCCAACACTGAATCGCTTGTCCAATTTTAAATTGTATATTTTTGATTCGCTCATAAATCAAATACTCACAGGATTGCCGTCTCAGATTGCTTTCGTTACATAATAACGACGAAATAATGATGAAATGTATCATTATTTAATGGGTGTTCATGAAGTCTTGAATGATCAATGTGTCAATAATATGCGCTCAATCATATGAATACATTCAATTGCTACAATCACAGAGCTATTTTAATACACAATACTCTGTGAAATGTCATTATATTAGTATTATTATTATTGCTGTTATTGAGGCCATTTTATTATTTTCATTACTATTACGTCGATGTTATTTTCGCTACTTTTATTCCTGTTATTATTAAGATTATGATTACTGCTATTCATCACTGCGCTTAGTTCACCAAACCTTTTCCTGAATCACTTACTAATTATCACTTCCTTTACTATTACTACTGTTATTACTACTGCTCGAATCATCAGAATTAGGGTCGATAAAACTTTTAAATAATATTCACCGTGTTTGCGACCATTAACGGAATATTGTCTGGATGCGTCCATGAGGCACCTTCCACTGCCAGCGCACCAAATACCATTGCCATTCCTTCATCTCGAATATCTTGCTAGAATTTTAGTGCATTCAATTAATTATATCCTCATTACTTTATCTGCATCACATCAAATTCATCCTTGACAATGTGTTCATTTCCAGTTCTATCCGATCGCTATTCTCAATAACTGATGACAAATAAACAATTTCAAGAAGGATAACACATCAAAGCACATTCTAAGACCAATAGTAATTTCAGGATTAATCTCAACCATCGTTTGACTCTGTATGAAAAAAATGCTTGATTTGGATCTTCACTGAGAGAAATTCCATATGAGAAAAATTCCATCACTGGGAAAAAAAGCCAACTGAAGATAAAAATTTTACGAACTAACGCACAAGATAAGTGAAAAATCAAAAAATCACATCAAAACAGCTGAAATTTGAATTGTTGATAATCGTATGTTGCAAATGAAAACGACTTGTACACTATTCTTCACGTTGTCAACAAACAAAGAAAACTCTAAGCAGTGTAACAAAATCAATACTTTAAATAATAGAACAAACAGAAAAATGCGAAACTTACATAACTTGCAACAAATTTTCCAGGCTCAATATAAAGATCGTTGTCAATTCCCTTCAGATCACCGAAATATTTTCTGCCTAATTCAACCAAATACGAATGTTCTATACCACCCGCACCAGCCAATACCATACGTGGTCCACGGTAATGCTCCTCGATATATTTCACTAAATCGTGTCGTTGGATTGAACTGAAAATAAATAAAATTCAACGACAAATTAAAGTTTCAATGAGCATCCGCTGAAATGATACGAATAAAGCTGTTTCGAACTTGTCTACTTGGTAACATGGTATCTAGGAGTTTATCCAAGCCTTAGGATAATTTTAAGTGCACCATATAAAATAGCTCGAAAAACCGTCAAAATATAAAGAATATTCATTAAATTGTATAATTCAGTCACTAACTTAATGTTTTCAATCGGTCCGAGGATTGTCCTCGCTAAAGATGTACCACGAAAAGCACCCGCATGCAAATGATCAAAAACAACTTCTTGCAAATTCTGCTCAACCTCTTGCATTTCGCGTAAGATCACACTTCGTTCACGCTCGATTTCCGCACCTCGCAACTGACTATTCCGCAGAATATCGGCTAATATTTCTACGGCTGAAATGAATACGATCACATTGTATTCAACGACATCATTCATTCTGTGAAATTTCCACAAAACATCAAAATTTTGGTCTATAAAGTCTTTATTGATCTTCACGTTTCTTGACGAAATCCTGTGGGCAAAATCAAGTCTAACTGGATACCATCAATTCAAAACCGTATATTAAAAGAAAAAAACTGAAACCTCTGCAAAATGTAAACAATGATGATACGTAAAAGTCATAAAAGTTAAAAGTCAAAATCATGAAACAATAATGATAAACTAGGAGGAACAATAGTCCTCATATGACCTCACAAAATCATTTATATTACCCAGCCGATATGAACAACTTATATGACATTTGGTTTGGAAAACTTTACGAATGCTATCATGAAATTCAAAAACATTTCAAAGCCGATTTAAATGGAATCAAACAAAAAACGTACATTGCTCCAAATCCTGTGAGAAACATTTCGCATAATAAACTGTTTGTTCTCGAGATGTGTACGCATTCAAGTGTGCACCCATATTCTCGACTTCTAACTCTAATTCCGTCTGAGATCTCTTCCTTGTTCCCTGTAAGAAAAAAATTTTTTGTCCATCCACGAAATAATGGCTAATGCTGATTTGAAACAAAAGTGTTGAATATTTTCCTCTGCAATCTACAAAAATTGTCCATCAACAAAACAAACCTTGAAAGCCATATGTTCCAGAAAATGTGCAACACCATTATTTTGATCGTTCTCATACCTACTTCCTGCATCGATCCAAATTCCTACCTGAAATTGCATTCAAATTCTTACCGAATTATTCAATAACACGGGACTGATTCGCTTATTCCATATCAATTCATTAACATAACTTATTCGAAATGAATGTTCTGAATGCAACGTGCAGAACTGAAAAATATGATTGAAATACGATACAATATAATGAATGATGACATTGAATAAAATTACCAAAGTTCAGTAACTTCAATAACTGTATGAATGAACAGTTCATTAATGAATATTCAATGTTACTGAACAAACTTATTCAATACGAGTTTTTTTGATTCAACTTACTTCACCGAAGAGTGTTATAAGATGAATTTATGTTCTGAATAGGGAAAAGATAAATTAAAATTGAAGAATACTTTCCTTGAAATTTCATACATCCCAAAACTCTATTTATCATATAATGAATGGCTACTGAATAATGAAGATGCTTCGATTTTTCATTGAATAAATTTCAGTGAAAACAGCAACAATTCATAATGAACATGTGAATACTCAGTGAATAAATTCACTGAATATTCACATATCTATTATGAATTTGGAACGCTTGAAATGAATGAATGAATAAAGAAATACTTTCGAAAAGGTACTGACCGTTGCCGTCGGGATTCTCGAGTCCTCACTAGCCACTCGAAAACCATTACTGATGGTTGTGATATGAGTTTCTGGCAAATTAAGGGCCATCGTTTTAGCTGCTGCTGACGATGCAGTATAGCGTTGACACTTAAAAGTTATCAGCATGAACATTACTGAATAAATCAAGTTATGCTCATTCAGAAATAGATCCAACGAAGTAATTTCCGACCACATCATTGACCTAACTTCGAATCTCGACCTATATTAAACCCTTCTGATCAAACATCCGTTTATTTTTAAATCTGTTTGATAATTTGGTAATGATAACAAAACGCACATCGACTGAAGCTATTCAAAACATTTGATACATAATGAACATGACTGTTCCCAATTGAAGAAAAAATTTCGTACCTGAACGAATCGGCTGCGGAGACTTGCCTGGCTGAACAGCGGCCTTGAAAGGCGATACAAATTGCGATGCATTGTTAATCTTGTAGACGGAAACTGCTGATAAACGAAGTTGAAAAAATTATTTTACGTTGTTGCAATGAATTATTCCTGAAAATAATTTCAAGTACAACCAGTCGGAAAAATTTAACGCTAAAACCAATTCAGCAACAAAATTAGGCCGTTTCAACTGATCGTGAATATTACACGCTATGATCATAACACTGAATGTCAAATTATCACTTGCTTACGGTAATTTTTATAAGAAATGGCCTTTTATATTAGTTAATATTTTGATTAGGTTGCCATGACGTGCTAACAAAATCAAACACTGACACAACCGCACCTCAGAAACTCTAGGCAATGAAAAATCATAGACGGAACCACATATTGTAATAGATTAACAAATGTCTCTCAATTTTTTATTAATCAATTGGATTTCCCATAGGCATCGATAAGGGCTTTGGCAACAGAAGGCAAATTGCACTATTGAAGTGATGCGGTTAGGCAGAACGCAGAGA